AAATATATAATTTTGAGAAAATCAAGTAATTACAGGAGCTTGTGTTGAGGTTAAAGTAGATACATCTTGACTATCGCAAATAAGGTTAATTACAGGAGCTTGTGTTGAGGTTGAAGCAGATATACTTTGATCATTGCAAATAGTGTTAATTACGGGAGCTTGTGTTGAGGTTGAAGCAGATACATCTTGATCATTGCAAATAGGACTAATTATGGGAGCTTGTGTTGAGGTTGAAGCAAATATATCTTGATCATCGTAAATAGAACTTTCATAATTTAGTTCAGTTATGGAGTTTAACACTGAAATTGGTTCATAAAGCTAGTAAAATTACTTGTTAGAAGATAAGTATTTGTGATAGGGCGTGGATAGAAAATAAAGAAGGATAATCACAGAAACTGGTGTTGAAATCGAAGCAAATATATATTGCTCATTATGAAAAAAATTTTTGAGTTCGTTCATTTTAAATGATTAAACATTTATCAAACAAGCGCGAAGTATAAAAGAGAAGTTAGTTTTAGATCAAACGTTTATTAAACAAGTGCGAAGTATAAAGAGGTTAGTTTTTAGATTAAACATTTATCAAACAAGTGTGAAGTATAAAAGAGATTAGTTTTTAGCTATATCAAAAATATTTATTTTAGGTTAAGGATTATATCATAATTTTCAAATTTTAATTTTTTTATTATATAATATTATGTCAATCCGTGTTTATACACTGTATTTACTTCACTATACTGATCCGTGTTTATATACTATGTGTAAACTAATAAATTTTCTATTAAAAATAGCATCTCTTTGTACAAATTACTATTAAATTCTTCTATAAATACTCAAATTAAGCCAGAGATCTTCTACTTATTAGGACAAAATAAACAATTTTTCTCTTAACTTCAAAATTTAATTTTGGGCACAATACTAGTCTATAGCAACTTCATAATACTATTGTGTTATTAAAAATTTTAGCAAAAAACTTTATGAAAATTAGTGTTTTAAAATTTGACAAATCTTATATTCAATATAATTCACAAATATATCTTGTACTTAAAAGCATTATTAACTTACAAGAGCAATTTATTCAATTTATCATAATTGGTATCAATAAATATTCTAAAAAATTCTGCAGCATTATTTTGGTCATTATAGAAACTTATAATAAATTTTTGTATTTGTAATGAAGAGTTCAAGATCTTTTAAGATTAGTATTTTTTTCTTTTTATTTTTGCGTTGTTTTCTGTTACTTTTTTCTTTTCATTTTTGTGCTATTTTCTGTTACTTTTTTTTGGTTCTTATTTTTTTGTATTAATATTTACTAACTTCTTACTTATTTTGGTGTTTAAGTTGATCTTTAAGATCTTTGCATCATTTTTTGGTAGAAATTTGAAATTGTTTATCATTTTTCTTGTAGTTAGTATTTTTTTAAAGTAAATATACTGTATATTATTTTTATTGCTTTTTGTCTTTTTGCTCTTGCTTATTTTAAGTATTTGGAGATTCTTAAGTAATAGAATTTTAGAGAATTTTTTTTACCATTTTTTTGAAATTAGTAAATTTTTTAGATATTTTTGCTTTTGTTTTTTTTTGCTTTTTTTTTACTAGTTTCTACTAACTTTCTTATTTAGGTGCTTGAGAGAAAGTTCCAACACGGAAAAAGTGCTGACATAACAACCCTTATTAACTAACAAAAGGTATGTACATAAATATGTACCTT